GACCACCATCAGACAAAACATTTTCTAAATACCACTTTTTGCTGACTAGACTTTTTGCTGTTGAACATCAAAGACTTTGTTTCCTGTTGCATGACTTGTGTTCTTATATTAGTGCTGTTCTGTCACTTTTATGTTTTTACTTGGACTGTGCCACAGGTTAGGGAATTTCTGTGCAAAACAGGTATCTACATGTATTGTAGCCTGGAAAGAAAAAGTTTTGTTTTTACATACTACATAAACATATACAACTGTGTGTATTGTTTTTAAAACTAGAGGACCAACTACTAAAAAAGAAAAACTACAGTGACAGTACATGTTTTGGCAAGTCACCTAAACTCTGCAAAGTAGAGATGCTTCATAGCAACGGTCGTGGACTGAACCAATATTGTTAGTCGTTCATACATAAATGGTAGCTGCAGCCACATTTGATTTCCTTGCCATCCAGCCGCCAACTTGTAGCAAATATGCCAAAGCCAGGTCACTTTAGTAAGACTGGATTCCCCTTTGTTAAAGTGTAGGGCCACATATATTTTGTCCAGATATCAGATATTTTAACCCTTCCAGTGTAAGCAGCCAACTTGAAGAAGGCTAGAAAATCAGCCTGTCACACTGACAGGGTTTAAAATGATGTGAGAAAACTAAGCCTCTACCAGTCTTCAGAAGTGGCTTGAAAGATTAGAAATTGGCCAAATAGACAGATTACATGGCAGGGGAGTTGGTCCGCTAAAGGAGTACAGTTTGCCACTGCTTTGGCGGACCAACTCCCCCGGCATGTTATCTTTCTATTTGGCCCATTTCTACTCTTTCCCGCCACTTATGAAGCCTGGTAGAGGCAAGAGAAAACTCTGAAAACACACCAGTCAAGTCCAAAACATGTTGCACATTGGCTCCCCTTAATTATATAATGTGGCTGCAGCTACTGTAAGTTATGACTCCTAGGGACTTGGTCTTACTTAGCCATAAGATCACTAAGCCAAGATAACTTGGTTCTCTACTCTGACTACAGTTGCTGGTTGTGGAAAACAGTAAGCATGTCCCCACCACCAGACTATTCTTGGACACTCCCATGTAGAATGAAATGAGATATCTACATGTAGTACATATTACATTGCCAAGAATACATGTGAGCACAGGTCCAAGCCACTACATGTATTACTACTACTACTACTTTTGGGATAATAGTAGCTCACTTGTAGCTTTTTTTATATACAAAATTGAAAAGACTGTACTACAATAAGCATGTGGCCCAAGGATACGATTTTCAGGGTACATTTTTTTCCTGCTTGAAGCATTACAAACTGCCACATCAATGCAGTAGACTCAGGGTCAAGTACAACCACATTATTGTGCATGGTTATATATATATTATATAATATCATCTGCTGCCCATTTAGATCAATATATATGTAGAGACTGTTTAACAAAATGTGTATTCTTACAGCAAATACTACTGGGTGTTGCACAATGATAGTGTTAACTGTAATTTGTATCTCTCCCCAACCCTGCAATACTCTAACATTGGCCTAGGTTAATGCCATCTATTAGGAAAGTTAAGGCACTCATTGGCTTGACTCAGTTGTGTGATTCAGTTTCTGAAGTGAAATTGAACATTGCAGTATTTTTGAAAAGTTATGCTTGGAAACCTGTGTATGTTTCTTCGTTGTGAATTCCTGTGGTAAAAAAAAATTGACACAACCTCATTGTTTCTGAAGAAATGTATTGGAGTTTTCTGCCATTCATCAAGGAAGAAAAAGAAAAAAAAAAGAACACAAATGCTTGGGCTGCACACCATTTTTATTTATCCTTTGACATTTAAAACATAACCAGTAAGAAAGATATGTTTTTTTGCTTTCCTTGATCAGGTCTTCAGAAGCTGCATCATGCAATTTCTTCTTCTTTTCGGGAGAGTTCACAACGAAGACAACTTGTGGTTTGAGAATTCTTGGAGTCTATTGACTAGGCTGAAAATTGAAAACTTTGGAAATGCACCCAAACAACAAGAGTTAGACTGTACAATTAGTTTCAAAAAACAAAAACGGAGATGTGCTTAGCTTTGTTAGCTTCTTGTGGGGTTGTGGTTCTAGATGCACAGAAAGAAGCGAGTGTGATAGATAACTGTCAAGGTATACAGAACTAAAGGACGGACCGTTCTTACATTGGGTTATATTGTGAACAGGCTGTAGGATGTTTCATACCTGATGTTTGTGTGTGTTCACTGTTAAACTCACATTTTCTAATGGCTGCTAGTAGGTCAGTGATTGATTGATTGCTTGGCAATACGAAGTAGAAATAGATAATATATATATCTATATATCTCTATATGTAATACTACAAGAGTTGCACAAGTATGTTAGGTACAACATAACACAGTCGTCAAGCCGAGTTTGTTCCAAACTTATATTATACTACATGGAGTGGACATTGTTATAATAATATTGAAGTGTACGACTTAGAAGTGAGTGGAGGTTTGTATCAGTAGACTGTCGTTCCGTTTGTTTGCCTTAATCTGAGCATGGTGAGCACAGTGCACGTCTGTGTGCCTGTAGGAGTAACCGTTCTAGTCTTACTATGTGCCAATATATCTAACGTGATTTGAGCCAGGTGCTACTGTTGTGATATATACAAGACGAGGGGCCATTTGTACTACTCAGTAATTAATACAAGAAATTGCTTTACAGCAGAGTCGGGCGTCTGGAGTCTTTATTCTCGCTGTCTTCATTATTCATTTTACCTTCGCCAGAATGTTATGTTTTTGGTAAAGTTTGTATGTATGTATTTGTATGAGTGAAAATGTAAGTGGATCAGCATAACAGATAGGTCTTGATGAGACGTCAAAAAGATTAGATTTTGGGCTCCCCAGGAGCATATGATACTGTGGCAGAACTTTAATTTGATTAATTTTATTTGATTTTAATTATTTAATTATGATCTGGACATGCTAGGGTCATGAATTTTGAATTTGTAGATAGCTTTGTGCTCAGGAAGAAGTTTTGTGCCCCCTAGCAGCTTGTTCTGGAACTGCAGGGGCTCCTCCCAAAACAGACTCATAGGTGTTGTACTGAGGCTGAACAAACACAAACATGCAGCGTTAGCAGTTCAAAGTACATTCCAAGTCAGATCCCTTATCATGGGTCATGTTTTAACTTTGTATCGAAACTGTCCAGAAACAATGTGTTGTCAGTTATGTGACAGTGCAAATTCCCTTTAATTTGTGGCGCAGTCAAATTGAGAGAGAGAAAACCCAGAACTCTCACCAGTAGGGTACACATAGCAGGGTACATGTTCCCTATGCCCTACAGAATGTGTGTGTTGCATTCACAGAGGCCAGTGTAATACTTTCAGTTAAAGCTTGCTACTTAGTGCGCAGGTAAACATGTACAAAAGCTTGTTTATCAAGGCATGATTCAGTGGAAAGTCCCGGCAGTGGCGCTGTAAAATTCAGAGGGAAAACCCAGAACTCTCACCCGTACAGGGAGGAGCAGATGAGTCTCTACCCAGGCAGGCACACAAGATTTGAAATTCTGCCCTCTCTTCCTCATTAAGTACCGTCGTGCATCCTTAATTAAATCCGGCCCGTTGAATTTCACACATTTATTATAAAGTCTTAGTTGTTGACTATCGTAATCTGACTTTAAAGTTAGCGGGCCACGTTTAGTTTGGCTAGCCGGCATTTAATAGTTTGGTGTAGACAGTGAATCGTGCGTGGCGGGAGATTTGAAATTCTACACTCTCATACTTATTAAGTACCGTCGTGCCTCCTTAATTAAATCCGGCCCGTTGAATTTTACACATTTAGTATAAAGTCTTAGTTGTTGACTATCGTAATCTGACTTTAAAGTTAGCGGGCCACGTTTAGTTTGGCTAGCCGGCAATAGTTTGGTGTAGACAGTGAATCGTGGCGGGAGATTTGAAATTCTGCCCTCTCATACTCATTAAGTACCGTCGTGCCTCCTTAATTAAATCCGGCCCGTTGAATTTTACACATTTAGTATAAAGTCTTAGTTGATGACTATCGTAATCCTTGTTTAAAGTTAGCGGGCCACGTTTAGTTCGGAGCAGACAATAAACGCGGCGGGTGATATAACATTCTGCCCTCTTTTACTTATTAAGTACCATCCTGCCACGTTAATTAAATCCGGCCCGTTGAATTCGATACTTTTAGCCTATAGTCTTGGTTGTTGACTATCGTAATCCGACTTTTGAGTTAGTGGACCACGTTTAGTTCGGTATAGACAATGAACTTTGTATGTATGTAAAAGCGGCGGGAGATTTGAAATTCTGCCCTGTCATACTCATTAAATACCGTCGTGCCTCGGTAATTAAATCCAGCCCGTTGAATTTCATACCTTTAGGACATAGAGTAGGTGTATGGCTACAAGTATCAATCTTTGAATTTAACGGGCCACATTTTGTTAGACGGCAGATACACTTTATACCCTTTCCAGCAGCCCACTCAGATGGCGTAAGATTTGAAATTCTGCCCTATCATACGTAAGTATACCCTTGTGCCTCCTTAATCAAATCCGACCCATTGAATTTGATACTTTTAGTGTATATAGTCTTGGTTGTTGACTACCGTAATCCGTCTGTAAAGGCCACGTTCAGTTTGGTGCAGCTATAACTGCTGAGTACACATATCTCTTATGCCTAATTAGGCCCGCTGTCAACGGCCTAATTAAATCCGGCAGGTAAAATCTGAAACTTGTAGTAGACTTGTGATGTAATAAGCTATCATAACGCTTTTTTCAAGTTCATCTTCCATATTTTTTGGCTAAATTACTGATTTTTGGGTTTTCGAATCGGTACCCGAATCAGTTGCTATGTTCCATCTAGCGGCGAAACGCCGGCTGTAACGCCGGCTACGAATCGAAGGCTGAAACGCCGGCTAGCTTCACCTTGGTTCTAGATCATCTTGATCATAATTGATATGATTGTTTTCTTTTGAACAGTGTGCTATCCTAGTGAGCCATTACAACTTCATCGGCTGACTGACACCAACCTGCCTGGGGCCACAAAAACATGGATCTTTTTATATGGAGAAGTTTTGAAATCGTCATTGACAAGACCAGACATGCCCTGTATGTACAGTTTTGCTTGTTCTTGTTGATTGATTTTTTGGGGTACAAAAATGATCTTAAAGATAAACATTTCTGTTGCCAGATAAATGTATTGTCAGACTGTTCAAAGTTTAGAGTTCAATGCAGCGAAGGTCTCACTCAATAAATACTGTGGCCGACTAAATCATTGAACTAAAGAAAACCATTTAGCACTGATAAAAAGTCTTGACTTCGTAATAACTTGTTGTCCCTCTTGCTGCCTAGGTGTGTTAGAATAAAGATTTGGAGAGATTGACCAAAACTTACAGAATGAAAGATATATTTTTGAAGGATTTGTGTAATTTGGCATAGACCTCTGGTACAGTTGCCCATGTTCTGAGAAATATCTTTAGCCTTTAGCACACTAAAGTTAAGTCAATTGATTACCATTTCAGTCTCAATAATTGGTTTTGGGCTTAGGCAGCAGGCAGAACAAGCTTAAAGTGACAGCATCAGGACATTTCAAAGTCCAGTATAGTTCAGCCCATGTAAAGATTGTCATTTTACAGCAAAGCAACAGATGCAAGGTTGACTTGGCTGGCAAACAGACCGGATGAGGATAGGTGAGTAAAAGTTGAAAATTGAGACACTGAAATTTATTGATCAGACCAAACATGTACAATAAATAATTATTATAATATGTATTTTGAGCTCCTGTGCTCGGGTATTGAAACCAAATGACGTAATTTGGAATGGGAATGCCTACTGGACATGAAAAATTACATTTTGGAGTGGGTTGATATTGGGATAGTCTATCTATTTGTAGATTAAGTAAGTTTGGAATATGCTTTGTGCAAAAGACTGATATCATAATGGAACAGACCATTTTACTTTTTACCACTACCAAACAAACTCTGAATTGTGTGAGCCTACATGTACATTTAGCAGGTTCCAGTATACTTTCACTGAGAAAATGTCACATATTTTTAACTGCTGGTATTTTCTTCATCATACATTCAACAATGAACAGTTTCCATTCATGTCACTCTCTACAAAGAAGCCATTAAGCCTTTATTTTTCTTTCCAGTCAGTATGTTGACCACCTTAAGAAAGGTGACTCCTCACTTGCCAGGGCAGAGTTGGACTCAGCAGTGCAGTATTTTCGAGCAATTATCATGATCGCAAGAGCCAACATTGCACAGCACCATCACCACCCACAAAGGTAGGAAAATTTTGATACAAGAGCCACAGATTGTTCTTAGACTGACAAAAACCTGATCATATTTTGTACATTGCATTACAGATTGAAGCAAAATGTAACAAACATAATGAAATTCTGCTGTCTAAATCTTACAGCTCTGCAACAGAACCAGGAATGACCAGTGATGCAGACAGAGAAGTTGAAGAAATACAACTCACAGAGTGAGTGTAATCTACATTAAGTTGTTTGTTATAATACAGAAACAGACAACATTTAGAATTACTGATTTTAACTTTATTTCAATCTATGCATGACTTTGTACAATTATATTTTTCTTTCCCCTCAAGGAAGTACACAGACCACCTTAAGGAAGGTGACTCCTCCCTTGCCAGGGCAGACCTGGACTCAGCAGAGCAGCACTTTGCAGATGGACTCAAGTTGGTGCATGTGAGAGGTAAGGGCAGCCGGGGGGGCTCTATAGTAGGTTTAAATCTTTTTCCACCATGATCGGACCTGTGGGAGGAGTAGGAGTGCTCGTAATCTAGGGGGATCCAGGGACAAATTTTGGATTTTTGAGTTTTTAAAAACACAATTTCCTACATTTTGACAGATACATGTAAATCATGGGGTTGAAAGTGGTTGTTGGTGTTCCTTATGATATTTTTGCATTAGATTTTTGTCAAAGGAAGTGCTTTGAAAGCTTTTGAGAATTGCCCAAAGTGAAGTTTTCCCTCTCCAGACCCCACAGCCCAGCAGTACCAGAGAGAGGTGGAGCCCCTGTGCAAGTTGGGGGATGTCTACAGTAAGCGAGGTCAGCAAACAGGAGATGGGGGAGACTTTGTCAAAGCAGCAGCGCTCTACAATGCAGCAATAGCCAGGTCAGAGGATCAAGTCAATGGTAATATAGAAATAGTTATCAAAGAGGTAGAGAAGGCATTTCTCAAGTATGTCTTAGGCATTCATTGTAATGTGAGCCAAGATGATACAGAAAAACACAAGAAACAATTGAAGGAGATGCGGGACCAGATCAAGCTGGAGATGGAAACCATTGTCCAGCAGCTGGATCCCTATGTACATGATGAGGACGACCCACGTGTCAAAGAGATAGAGGCAAAACGAGCTCAGGCTGTCAGGCAGTTGTTTGAGAAAATTTCCAAACAAAGGAAGGAGTTCATCAGCCTGCTTGTAGAAGAGTGTATTGGGTTAATGGTTCCCCCTCCCTGTAAATTTGCCCTGATAGGTTTGGGTTCACTGGCCACAGAACTGGTAACTCCATACTCAGACCTGGAGTTTGCCATCTTGGTAGAAGAAAAAAGTGAAGAATGTCTTGTGTATTTCCGTAACCTCACTCACTATCTACACCTCAAGGTGGTCAACCTGGGAGAAACAATTCTCCCATCTTTGGGAATAAAATCTCTCAATGATTTCTACTCTGAGAACAAATCTGACAACTGGTACTATGACTCTGTTACACCACGTGGGCTCGCATTTGATGCCTCCATGCCAAAGGCAAGCAAGACTCCACTGGGCAGGCAGGGACCTATGGATGAACCACCCAGTGAACTCATCTGCACTCCACAAAACATGGTGTCAAAACTATATAAGGATGCCACACTGTACCTTGAGGAAGGATATCATCTTGCCACTATCTTGACCAACCCAATCCTGCTGGCTGGGGATCAGGGTTTGATTGACATGTACATGGGCATCACAGAGGGGATACTGCAAGAGGATAGGTGCAAAATGGCTCGACAACTGGCACAAGAAACATTGAGGGAAAACATCAGTAACTACGGTCATGAGGAAACAATCACAGCAAGTCTGATTGATGTGAAGAAAGACATCTATCGCATCCCAGCTGTAGCAGTGAATTGCTTGGCCCTATTCTCTTGTATTGAACCCAAAGCAGTTTGGGAGACAATAGAAGAAATGCAAAGCAAACAAGTGATCAGTCCCAACAATGCACACCACCTGACAGTGCTTACTAGCATCTCAGCAGAACTCAGGCTCAGAACCTACATGGCAAATGGTGGACAGAACGAAAACCTGTCAGCTTTGGCCTCAATTGAAACAGAACAGACCAATGACGAAGCACAAACAAACGCACAGAAACCAGTTTTCCATCTGCCAAATGAAAAACAGCTTTTAAGATACTACTGTACATTAATTCCTCTTAAATCAGTTCTGCTTGATTTGCTGGTACAGTCAGGGAAAACATCTTCAAATTCATTTCCTGATTTCTATGATAACTCTCCAAAAGTGCAAGGAGATGTATACCTTGCACTATGCCACTATATGCAGGCTATTGATTATTATGCCAAGGCTTTGGAGAAATTCAACCCTGAGGGTACAGATCCTAAGAAAGTTGGCTTGTTAAGGAGTCTTGGAACTGCTTGGTTTGGGTTGGGCAATTACTACAAAGCAATCAGTTATGCTGAACAGGCACTACAAATGCACAGGGACAGATACATTGATGGTCAGAGTGAAGATAATGATGTAATTGCTCTGTCATTGACCAATGATCTGGCTTCTGCCAGGGTTAAGCTTGGAGACTATAGCAAAGCCATCCAGCATCTTGAGGTTGCACCTTTTCAGAGGCTGAGTGTCAATGGTTCTGTTCTTACAGCACATCCTGAAATTGCTCGCTCCCTCAGCCTCCTGGGTCTGGCCTGGAGGAGACTGGGTGATCACAGGAAAGCAATCAGCTTCCATGAACAGGCACTACAAATGCGCAGGAGTATTTATGGTGATGATACAGCACACCCTGCCATTGCAGAATCGCTTAACAACCTGGGGGTAGCCTGGTGTGCTTTGGGTGATTACGGAAAAGCTATCAGCTACCTTGACCAGGCACTACAGATGTACAGGAGCATCTATGGCCGGGATACAGCACATCCTCACATTGCTTGGTCACTCTGCAATCAGGGAACAAACTGTTACCATATGGGTGATTACAGGAAAGCAATCAGCTACCTTGAGCAGGCTCTGCAGATGTACAGGGGTAGTCAGGGCCAGAAACCACATCCTCAAATTTCCATGTTGCTTAATAACCTTGGAGTAGCTTCACAAAATCTGGGTTATTACAGAAAAGCAATGATCTTCCATGAAGAAGCACAGATGATGCTCAGGATCATCTATGGTCCAAACGTAGCACATCCTCACATTGCCTTGTCCCTCTACAATCAGGGAGTGAACCTTTGGCATATGGGTGATTACGAAAAAGCAATCAGCTGCCTTTTACAGGCACTGCAGATGTACAGCAGGATCTATGGCCAGGGTACAGCACGTCCTGAATACGCTGCAGCACTATACTCCCTGGGGGCAGCCTGGGATTGCATGGGACAGCCAGAAAAGGCCAGCAACTGTTATGATGAGGCTCTGCAGATGTACAGGAATATCCAAGGCCAGGATACAGCACTTCCTCACATTGCCATGTTACTCTGCAACCAGGGAATGAACTGTTACCATGTTGGTGATTACAGGAAAGCAATCAGCTACCTTGAGCAGGCTCTACAGATCTGCAGAAGTATCTATGGTCAGAATACAACACACCCTGACATTGCCATGTCACTCAGCAACCTGGGGTTAGCCTGGCACCATCTCTCTGATGATACAAAAGCAATCAGCTACTTTGAACAAGCACTGCAGATGTACAGGAGTGTCTACGGTCAGAGTACAGCAAATCCTGTCATTGCCATGTCACTCAACAACCTGGGGTCCACATGGGGTAACATTGGTGATCATAGAAAAGCTGTGAGCTACCATGATCAGGCCCTGCAGATGCGCAGGAGTATCTATGGTCAGGGTACAGCCCATCCTGACATTGCTGGCTCACTAAATTATCTGGGGACAGCCTGGTTCCATCTCCATGATAATGTAAAAGCAATCAGCTACCTTGAACAGGCACTGGAGATGTACAAAATTGTTTATGCTCAGATTCCAGAACATCCTGACATTGCTGGCTCACTAAATAACCTGGGGTCAGCCTGGTTCCATCTCCATGATAATGTAAAAGCAATCAGCTACCTTGAACAGGCACTGGAGATGTACAAAATTGTTTATGGTCAGATTCCAGAAAATCCTGACATTGCTGGCTCACTAAAGAACCTGGGGTCAGCCTGGTACCACCTCTGTGATGATACAAAAGCAACCAGCTACCTTGAGCAGGCACTGCAGATGTATGGAAAGATCTATGGCCAGGGGACAGCGCGTCCAGAAATTGCCGGAGCACTAGACATCTTGGGGGCAGCCTGGGATCGTAAGGGTCAACCGGAGAAGGCTAGCATCTCTTACGAACTGGCTCTGCAAATGTACAGGACTATCCATGGCCCGGATACAGCACTTCCTCACATTGCAAAGTTACTCCGAAATCTGTGGTTAGCCATGGTTTCCTTACGTCAACATGAGAAAGCTATCAGCTACCTTGAACAGGTACAGCAGGTACATAGGAATATCCATGCTCAGAATTCTTCAAATCCTGAGACTGCCTCATCTCACAACGACCTGGGAAAGATAGGCTGGTATGTTTAGGATACACTCTTAACACAATCATAATACGATCACTTAGAAACAAAATACCACCATATACCACCAAACTAACAAAAAGGAACTTGTTTGTGGCAAATTAGTACTCTAACTTAATCTTGAAATGTTTGCGTCAGTTTTACACGTCATGTACTTTGAAATTCATGGTTTTTGCAGTGACCTCTCCACAACAAAATCGCGGCACCTAAAATATGTGTCTGAAATGTACCTGTTTGAACCTGGCCCGCAAACCTCAAAGGACACAAAAATTCCTTTCCCCTTGTACTGTGAAAATGAGTTAATTCACAAGACTGTTACAGTTTAATTTTTACAGTAGGACTTTAATGCAGCTCAAAGCTGACACATCAAACAATTGAAAGAAACCACTAATCAGCATAAATAAACCTACAAATAAGTAACAACAAAGTATTAGAAGAGGAAGAACACGACCTTGGTTTTCCAATGTTTCTGTGTGATGGCCAGTTCCACAAATGGGGTGGGGTCGCTACCAGACTTCAATGTCTATAAAACAACAGGCAAAACATGTTAATGACATCAACACAGTCTGATCATGTCCACAACAAAACTATATTGTTATCAAGGACTGATCTAAACAAACAAGCTGACTTATAAGGTATACAAAGGACCAAGTGAACATTATCAGCAAGCAAACAACCTGACGCAAGTAGCCATTTTGCCTCTACAACAAGACAGAAACAGCAAAATGTGTTAAAGAACTTAGCTAGTACATAATATGTACAAAATGTATGTGTTTTCACCTGACGTTACCGACTTAGACAAGACAGGTTAAAAAATTATTTGTTAGAGACAGACTGTAGACAGGAGTTACAATGAAGGAAGCACAAAGACAGGACAAAACTGTGAGTTAAACTTGTCACACGCTTATGTATAGTGTTAAGGGCTAAAACGTACTACCCGAAAACCAATATGCTATAGAACATTATGTATGATATATTGTACAACACTCAAGAAAGTAAGAACTAAGCTTTTAGGTATGGTAAAACTGCTATACTGTGACTTCTTTAGTTTGCCTTGACCAAGAGATTGTATTGGTAAAAACTATAAAAAGATGTACAAAGCATAAAGATCACCAATATCTTGTATGTAACTTAACATGGTGTCAAGTACTGTTAAGTGTGAATCTGCATATCTTATATCTACAGTAAATTTTACAATCAGGCATGAAAACTTACCTGTGTGTGTTATATCTCATCACTGCTAACAAGTCTGCTCCCCAACATCCACTATTTGGGAGTGCACTAACAAGTCTGGACTCCAGGCTACAGCTGACGTGCTAAGGGACTTGTCTTCACCAGACTCCTTTGCAGGCTGAATAATTACTGTTCAAAGTCATGTGCATGTATAACTTCATAGTAGAAATCAGACAAAATCTATGTGGCATGGAGGCAAACTGGTCCTCCTATGGCTGCGAATAGGCTAGCCCTGGAGCAATAATATTAAGCAATCTTTTCATTATACATGTACCTTCAAAATAGCCTGGAATCCATCCGTGAACGCTTTATCTCCACTCCGTTCCTCCGCTGAAGGCAGAGCGGAGGAACCGAGCGGAGATAAAGCGTTCACGGATGGATTCCAGGCTACCTTCAAAATTAACTTTAAAAATTTCAACCTATCTACGCATCACATTTCTGTATTGAATTGATTAAATATTTGTCACAGTACAAATTGACTTTGTATTTGGTACACAATTCATTTTGATTTTTGAAAACTGCAATCCCTTCATTTTTCCCCATGCATTTCCATAAGATGTGAGGTCTTCACAATGTTTATTTCACCCTCTTGTTACTTACGTCTATTTCGAACAAAAGTAAATGCACAATAACTTCACACAGGATATAAACTGCAGAGTTTAATACTGGATTCCTCCACTTTACATACATCTCATTCTGCTCCACATAGTGGACACTGCCTTACTGTTAGCGTCACCAGCACAGTAACTTTGGTAGTGGAGATGCTCGTACATAGCCGTAAGGGTGTCTCAGACCGTTTCTTTTGATGGCTTCCAGCCTCCACCAGGCCTTTCTACGGGGGTACGGATCGTAGAATTTGAATTGGCCAGGAGAGTCGGTGGTCAAACTCCCCTGGCCAATTAGTCTCCCTATTCCGTTAAATCTTACTGTTTTTGAACCCACGTTGTTGGTCTGGTGGAGACTAGATTGTTTCCACTTCCGCGTATATTGTCCTGAAGAAAAGAAACCCTGACCCCTTGAGACATTGTTGTAGAGTCTGTAAACTTTTATTGCAATCTTTTTTTTCCTATTTATGTTGGTTCTAACATGTACATGTATGACCTAAGAGGATGCCATCCTGAGCTAAACTCGACACCCTATAGTAATGTCCGAATATGTTACAGATTGTACATGTGTGTGTACAGCACGTCGGCAGAACGCACTGCGCCTACGCAGAACCCTGTATTTTCATGATTTTCGGTGGATTTTTGGTCAACGTTGCATCAGAATTTTGCCTGTTGCAAAGGATATCTTTTCCTACATAACATTTGGAAACTACAGACGGGATGTTAACCTTATATGAGCTAGTACAGCCTTAAATGAGACGTTCTGTCGAAGTGCTATGTACAATACATTACGGGTTTCGCGCAGGTGCAGTGCGTTCTGCTGACATGCTTGTGTGTACATGTTGTACTTGTATTACATTTGTACCTAATTTCTGCTGCTACAGCATTAGCTACAGAGCTCTGCCATTTTCAGACTAGACTCTTTGAGAGGAAAGTAAACAGTTTAAAAGGACAGACCATCATAATTGAGGGTCTCCATATACTAGTAGTCTGGAGTATGTACATGAATGATCACAATGTGCAGGCAGAGCCTCCTATCTGCTGGGTATGGTACTGCAGGCATACAATGTACTACCCGGTAGTATTTTGATCCGAGCCGATTTCTGGTCAGAAAGGCCATTGGTATATTACAGGGGCCTGAAACTAACATAGTACACAAGCTCTCCGTCACTCTTAGGTGTGAATGTTCCTGTGCATGGTCTGGTAACTCTGTCATGTTATGATGCATGCACAATTTGGAAGGCCGACAAATTTTACTACCACTTGCCTTCTTTGGGTGCCAATTTTACCCTTCCAAAGTCCCACTGGGCAGATCCTCAAGGTTTACCTGCAAGTGACGTTTTGGTAAGGAGCAGTCAGGATGATCTAGGTTTGACCTCGCTAACAACAGAAGGAAGTTTTTGAACACAAAAATATTTTGCAGATGGCCACGAGGCTATTTTGTATCCTCAGTATATCCCCCATGCCTAATACAAATGGGGAATTTTGAACGTCTTTTGCTACACATCTGACATTTTTATTTCCTACAATAAAAGCAAATAGTTCCAGAGTGGTTGGTAGGGAGTACTGCTATTTTACATGCCAATCAAAGTTAGTCTACAAAGCCTTGGAAAAGTAAATGTAACCCATTTTGTATCATTATATTTACATGTCGGATTCTAAAATATTCTACCGCCCGTCTTGTCGTAGCTACTTTACGAGGCCGTGTTTCTTTGCCTCTGTTTCGTAGATGAGTAGCCTCCACATTTTGACAACGAACACTTCCGCCTCTTCATCCAAAACCTGTGAAGCAAAAACATGATGAAACAGGTATGAATTTTATGTGTTTCGTTTTAAGAGTCAGTTGAAGGTTCTAAATCTGTACTTAATGTTTCTTCTTCCATTGCTAAACGTAGTTGTACATGTACATGTAGGTGTAACAAAGCTTAGAAACTTGTATAGTACAGTGTAAAAGCTGCATCTTATGGTGTCCTCCTCTACAACAAAAAGGTAACAAGGTAAAAAGGTAACAGTATGAAAACTACTGAAAGGTAGAATACTGTAAAGCAGTGTGTAGCCACTGAGAGGGTCACCCTGGTTAAAGATAACAGAATAAAAAAAAATACTGTACTTACCATTGCAACATCTTCGAGAATGCTCTTGGGGACACTGTGGGCCATCACCTGCAAAAATTATCGTCCTGTTAGTTATGTGCATACATCATAGAAAACATCCTTTCTGTCCTATTTCTGCATCTAAACCCACTGGCTTTTTATGTGCTTTTACAGTCTGGTGCATTGAGAGGTATCTATTTGGTTACCTACAAATGTATAGGCTCCCCTCCCTGTAGAAGCACTTAAGTTTGTCTGCGTTAATAATTAACAGTACTGAGCTAAAACTTTGATCCAATACTAAAAATTGACATACTGAATTTTTTGACAGTCTTACAAAAATTATAGATATTAAGGCCATTTTGATTTGATTATAATGGATGACATCCTCTGGGAACCCCAAAACTGATGCGAGCGTGCGAATAAAAAAAAGTTATAAAAAAAAAAAAGTTGCTTTCATAAAACCTACGTTGTTATGAAGGTATGGCGAATAATCTACTCTTTAAATTCATTTCTTTGCATTTTAGTTTTTTGTTTGATTTTGGCATTCTACGACGTTGGAATCGTTTTCAAATATTTTTTTTGCAACTTTCGGTATATATTTGCTCATTTTGCAACTGTTTTATACAATTTACAGTGTGGTTGGAAACTTTTTTTTTTGGAAACGGCCGAAAATTCATGCGCGCGCAGATGTCATCCATATAATCAACATGGCCTAATTGTAGTGAATATCCATGACCATCCAATGCTGTTCCCCGTACCAAGTTTTAATTTTCCTTAATCTGACACCACTAAACAATTGTCTTGCATTCCTCATACGCCTCCCTAGGTATCTGTACCTTTTGACAGATGAAATACATGTATGCAAAAATTATAATCCTGTTAGTAATGTGCATATAAATAAACATCCTTACGCCTTCCTAGAACACAATCATTTTCTTAACAAATCTGAAAGCAGCAAACCAATGGCCCCCCTCAAGCCCCCGTAGGTATCTGTACCTTTTGACAGATGAACTCAGTAAGTGTGGGCTCCTCCTCTCCAATGTATTCTACAATCTTCTTGTTGATCCAGGGCTTGACTCTCTTCTCCATCAGCCCCTGCAACACAAAAATAGTTACAGATAGGCAATACCAAAGCAATACTCTTGTGGTCCAATACATGTCGCCAGAATGTACTGTGCCTGTGCGAAACCCAGATTTTTCACAGTTTTCGTTGAACGTTTGGTCAACTTTGCATCAATATCTTTTCCGACATAACCTTTGGAAATACGACCTTACATGAGACGTACTGCCAAAGTGTTATGCACAATACATTACAGGTTTTGTGCAGGTGCAGTGCGTTCTGCTGGCGTGCTGCTTCATGTAAATTTCTTAGGCCACACCAATTTAATTTCTTGGTTAACGGATTTTTCTAGAAAAGTAATGGAGCGGGCGGGAGAAAATAAAAAATAAAACAGGCCTAGGCATCATATTATGGCCCAAAATGGTACGATAGGAGCCATGAAGTCAACACACCAGGCTGGTTCAAAATTTAAACAATGAATTTTGAACTTTTAATGATACCATTGCATTGAAAGATGGAATAACTGTAACAACTAGGATGAAAAGGACTGTTTTCAACTGTTCAGGGCAAAGTATGAGCATTTTGCAGTTGATTCTGGATTTTTTTTTTTTTTTGCAAATCTGAAAAAAACGAAGCGGCGAATCCGTTAACCAAGAAATTAAATTGGTGTGGCCTTACTCTGAAATAAAGAATGATTCTACAGCTGTCCCAACGTACCTGATCGACCTGCGACCATTCTAGGCTGTAGGCGAACAGTGCAGGGGTCCTTACCCAGTGTGAGTGGTTCAAACCTTACAGGTCTGGTCTTACGTAGCTTGTACTTACATGTACAAAACTGGTGTGTTACGCCTAAGGCAGTTTACTGGTTATGCTAAACAAACAAACAAACAAACAAAACGTACCTGATCGACCTGCGACCAGTCTACTTTAATGTCCCGATTAAACGTACCGGTACGTTTATTTTTTTCGGCCCGAACGTCCACCCGGTACACTCTTATTAGGGACGGTACGTTTATTAATTTTTGGGGAAAAAATTGTCCGTACGTACCGCACCATCAGCAAGTGGCCGGCGGCCGCAAAATTCGGCAACACGTCACAGATAAATATTTGGTCCATGATAGCGGCATTTCCCATGAATATAATGTATATTATTCATTTTTCGCCTGCTGTCCATTTTTAAGTCCCAAAACATCTGAAAAAGCAAAAATTTGCCCACAAAACCGAAGGGTCCAAGGCGAGTAGCTAATCGACGTATTTAGCACACGGCGGCCGCAAGTCCTTGTCAAAATCGGCAACGCGGCAGAAAAATGCCTGGTCCATTTTAGCGATATTTACCATGAAAAAAACGTATGTGGTTTATTTTCCCTCTGGTGTTAGTTTTTAGGTCCCGAAACCCCTAAAAAAGTAGAAATTTGCCCACAAGATGGACGGCCGACGTGGGGAGGGCGCCTAGCGCCTGAGCAGCATGACCCGTAAAAAGTCAAAGGTCATAGGGCACCCATATTGCGCAATCACCGTAAAAGACGCCGATTTAGCTAATTTTAGGGTCGTTTAAAATTAGATACAATCACATTATCGATTTCTAAAAAACAAATGAGATGGAAACCAATCAAAATTTTATGCTGAATAATATTTTTTTTCTTCAAAAGTTTTTTTCTTCAGAAGTTTTTCTTCTTCAGAATCCAGACTTTGACCAGACTAGACAATGTACCATACCAAATAATTATTATGTTGAAATGGATTTTGTTGTAGATATACTCATTAAACCCCTATATTTGTACTTAATTGGGCTTGATTTTCTATCTCTTAAGTTAGTCAGATTTTCAACTCAAGTTGCAGGAGAAGGCTTAGCAAAGTGCATTTTAGAAGTGTAAAATGCAATAGCTTCTACGGATTTTGTATTTCCCCAAAACAAGTACAATATATATATACTCATTAATTAAAGTGATATATACTCACTAATTAAATGTAACAGTGAAAGATTTGCCAATATATTGGTATTGAAATAAAGAGCACATTTTAGTATCAAAGACACACAGTTCACCTGTCAATTTGGTCATTTTCCGGGGGGTACGTTTATTCCGGATGGTATGTTTATTAGACTTTGACGATTTGTCCGGGGGGTATGTTTATTCCGGGGGGTATGTTTATTAGGGACATGAGAGTAGGCTGTAGGCGAACAGTGCAGGGGTCCTTACCTGGTGTGAGTGGTTCAAACCTTACAGGTCTGGTCTTACGCAGCTTGTACTTACATGTACAAAACTGGTGTGTTACGCCTAAGGCAGTTTACTGGTTATGCTAAACAAACAAACAAACAAAACGTACCTGATCGACCTGCGACCAGTCAAGGCTGTAGGCGAACAGCTCGTCCTTGGCGGTGGGGATCTTCTCGATCAGGTTCTTGATGCTCTTCCTCTTCTCCTCGGTCGAGGACATGGCGGTCGGCACGTGGCTCACGGCCAGCTTCTCCTCCTCCGTGTACTCCAGGGGGATCAGCTTTCGCTTCTTGGGGCCGTCGTCCGCCCCGTCTTCATCATCGTTGCTGAACACCTGGCCGATGGGGATCTTCCTCTTGGGCGGGGCCTGTGCAGGGCTGCTGGTGGCCGGAGCGGCAACTGTGACAAAAAAAAAACACAAAAAAAAACCATAAAAGTACTGAAATTTCAATAGTGTTTCTACAACAAGCGCAACAATGGGAAATGGGGATCTTCCTCTTGCTGGTGGCTGGAGAAACAACAGAAAACAGGCTGAAATTTAGCTGTGTTTCTACCAAAAAAGAGCAACGCAATGTGTATAAAAAATTAAAGATTCATTATCCTGAAGGACCTAGAAGATCGTCTGGTAGTAGACAAAGTAATGGTCAAATTCCCAAAGGACAAAAATGAAAGGACATATCACTGTAACACAGGAGTAAAATGCAGTACTTTCTTCTGGCAAATTTGAGGCCAAATCTAACCTTTGGCTTCTGGTTTGCGAGAGAGGGTCCTAGAAGTGTGGTGTTTTGCAAGACAAAGTAAATGTCAGCCTTCCAAAAGGCGAAATGACAAAATTGACAGATGAATCTAATTATCTACCAGAGAGAAAAACACAGAACTGATAACGGACTGATGATTGACTACTTATTTTTGTATTATATTTTGATTTGTATTTTGGTTTGATTTTGTATTATATTTTGGTTTGATTTGTGATCCATGACCCCGCCCTCACCCTCGACCTTGTTGAAGAGCGGCCATATGTATATACCTAACAAGCTTTCGAGTTTAAATAAAGGCTTACTACTACTACTACTAGAACTCTTTCTTACCGAACTTGAGGCCGAACCCGATCTTTGGTTTCTGGTTGGCGGGCGGGGGTTCTGGCCCCTGTACGGGGGCGAAGCTGTCCTGAGATGACTCGTCTGGGGGAGACTCGGGTTTGGGGGCGGAGGGGAAGATGATTCCGGCCGGGGACTCTCCTCCTGACGCTGCCATGGGGGAGTCCTGGGAGGACACCGAAGGAGCTGCCTTCACCTGCAGGGGAAGTAAAAAAAAAAACGTTACTTAGCTTAAAAAGCTGCACTTAGTGATGCATACTGGTTCACTGGACTTGGATCCGGACTTGAAAGAATGTTTAGGTTAAGTCCAAAAAAACCTAAAAGTCAATAACCGAGTCCGGACTTAGTACCATAAAAGACCATTTCACATACCCCTTTTCTTTCCAAACCATCTAAAACCTTCCGTAGATTGCAAAATCTTTGCTGCAAAATGAAGAAAACATTGCTATCTGGCATGGTCAAGTACCGGCCTCCATGTTATGTGGCCAAAGTTTCACCCAGACAACATTGCAAGGTTGCCAACATGCAATTTTGTATATGTCATGGGTTTAGGTCCGGACTTACGAGTCCGGAACTGAACCTAAACCTCTGGACTTGAATCCGGACCTGAACCTAAAATTGGGTTTAGGTATGCAGCACTAGCTGCACTATTTATTTATTTATTTATTTCATCTTCTAAACACCTGGGTAGCCTTCACAACAGTAGAATTGTTGATTTCCAAAAGGGCCCAGGGACACATAAACAATATAACATAACATAAATACAACATAACGCAATTTGTATAAAAGTAAATTATACAATCAAGTAACATAACTGAGAAAAGTTAACAGATCTGTATAACTGAAAATCAGTATAACTGAAAAGTTAACAAATGATACAACATATACAAACGGCTGAACAGAAATATACAAACCAAAATGTCAAAATCAATGTAACTATGTAACATTCTTGCACCAAAAATTAAAATACTTTGTTTATTAAAAGAAATATTTGTGTGATTGTAATTTACATCCACTTTTCAACATGTTTGTGAAATTAGGGGAAGCCAATTAATTTCACAACGGTTGTTTCAACTTGTTTGCACACTCCTGTCAATTGCACCAAATCCCAAACCGTATATTACATTTCTGACATCTATGGTTGGTGCTAAACAGCCCACATGAGGCACACCCAGTTTGTGGTGCCACTAAAAACTACCCAAAATGTAAACAAACAAGACCAAATTTTACGTGGGGCAACCTATTTTTGAACCTAGGTAGCCCAGTGTGCTACCTGAATGCCCACTTGGCCTGCACCACTGTATCCGGCAGATGCTTTTTAATCTTAGGTATTAATGGCTATTATTAGTTGGAAATATTGTCAAAGGCTTATGTATGTAACATTACTTACTTTGAGGAAAGCAGTAACTCATAGGTGGGGCAACCTGGTTCAAAGAAGTATTTTGTACACTGTACCTGTATGGGTGGGAATGCAGGTTTGAGTGTTGGTTCCAGGTGAGGTTTGGTCTCTCGTGGCGACGGCTCGGGAGGTTCAGTTTTCAGCTGCGGCTCTTTGTGCTTCTCTGTCTCCCTTTCCAACTGGGATAACAGAAGGGGTTAGGTATTAAACTGGGCCAGAGATTTACAAAGTTAACAAACGACAAACTGTTCACATACATAATGTCATCGTCTAAACACCTGGTGATTGAGAAACTCTGTGAATTCGTGTACGCATGTCTCAAGAGGAGAGAAGTTAGAGTTAGATGAATTATAGTATACAGTAGCTGTTAGTTT